CTTGCCCTCCAGTAGCTTACGCTTGAGGGAAGGAGTACGTAAGAATAATTCTTATTCTTGCATAAGAATATCCCGAGATAATTGTTCAAATGGAGATTTGTTCAAGTGCTGTGGGGACGGGAAATGGTATGCCTGGGGATTCCAGGTAGAGTTCCTCTGTTAAATCAGTATTTGAGCTGAAATTTGAAAGATGATTTGATTTTGCCTAATGGTGAGTGCTACGTAGGGGATGGGAAAGGGAAGAGCTTTCTGGGTAAACGTGAAAGGCAGAAGGAGGGGAGAGACCCTGGTGTTTTCAGAACATGTAGTAACTGTTGCTGTAGTGTCCAGTGGGAGGGAGTGTCAGAAGGTAAGGAGGGGATCAGATCATGAGATCTAAGCTACATGTGAGGGAGTTAAGTTTTATTCCGTAGGTGTAGGGACACCATAAACAATTTGGGCCGGGAGTGACGGTATGATTTTCGTGTTGGGAGGATCACGCAGTAGATAATAGGCTGGAGTGGAGCTGAGCTTGCCACTAGAACTAGAAGCAGGGAGGCCGATGAGTGGCTGGCACTAGGAAAGGTATAAAGAGCAGGTTTATTGTGGTTGAGGCTGAAGGTGAACTGCGGTGAGTTGAAATGTGAACCACTCTTAGAAGTCTAAAGTTGTGAAAGGAAGGAACCCTTTGGAAAGTGGGAGATAGAAGGAGAGATTCAGGTCAGGGTTTTTAAAAAATATTTTCACTCTATAAAGGACACCTGAAGAAGTTTCTATGCTGATTGGAAAGATCTAATAGAAAGCTTTGAAGATACAAGAAAGTATAAATAAAGGGAAAATTAATGGAACAAGCCCCCGAGGAGGCAGGAAGAGAAGCGATTCAGAGCACAAATGATTTTGCTTTGGGTAAAAAGAGAGTTATGAGAAGGAGTCAGGGAAATAATGCAAGTCAGATGGTTCTGTGAAGGAGCCAGAAATATTTAGTTTCTCCCAATGCAGGACCATCGGCTGCACCCTGGTGGTTTTCACAGGCTTATCAGCTTGGGTACGGATGGAGACAGCAGAAACTTGGATTACCACGTGGGGTTTTGCCAGTCGATTTGGATGGGGGTGAAGGGGCTGCACATGCCCTTTTCCTAAGTTCTGACTCCAGATGGCTTTGACCGTGCCTTAACCTTGTTTTCCATTTTGACTAGCATGCTTGCCTTGTATGTAGTCAGCATGTACATACTGAATTCGTTTTGCTTCATGGGTATTTAATTTTCTTATTAGGACAGTAATGATGACAGTGAAGATGTTGCACTGTTTGATGCAGAAGAGGAAACAACTAATCGACCCCAAAAATCCAAAATCAGGTATGAGGATAACTTTTACGAGTTGCGTTAGTGTCCAGTACTTTCTGCCTGTGACAGCTGATGGGATTCAAGCAGAGTGGTTGTGATGTCCTTGTGAATATTGTATCTCACTAGTGTGATCTTTAGTCTTAGACAAAAATGGGGACATTTCAGATTCTCATTGTGCATAACTGACGTGGAATTTTACTCAACACTGTTTTCAAATCTGCAAATCCAATTACATGAACACTACTATGTTTTCCTTTAAATACTAGTAGTTTCTGTAGATGCATTATGACATTTTGATTTATTGTGCAAATTTCAGAATTGCATCTTGTATATAAACTAACGTGAAAATATCATGCCAAACATTTCTATTCCAAATTTAGTTCTCTCTAAAGAAATTCACTTAATGGAATCAGATTCTACCTGAACTTTGGAAACAAAGTGAGAGATGCCAGTCACAAAAGACCACATAATGTACAATTTCATTTATATGAAATGTCCAGAATAGGCAAATCTATACAAAGTTACATTAATGGTTGCCTAGGGCTGGAGAAGGGATGGGGTTGGTATAAATGGGGGTGAGTGCCCATGGGTAAAGGTTTCCTTTGGGGTAATTATGGTGATGGTTGTACAATCTATGAATATATTTTAAAAAAACATCAAATTATGTACTTTCAATAGGTGAATTGTAAGGTATATGGACTATATCTCAATAAAGCTGTTAAACTCTTCCTGATGGTTACTTTGTCTAAATGCCTGAAGTATCCAATGAGCTGTTAAAGTCCTGTTTACATAATGTATTTGCTGTTTTACAACAGGGCTTAGTCAAATAATGGGGCTTAAGAAAAAAGAGAGGTTGGTGATTTGCTTCTTCCTCAAATCGTCTTTTATTTTGACCAAACTGCATGGTTATGCTATGGCTGAAGCATTTTTCATCTACATCTGCAGTAACTGTCGAAAATGTAATCACATTTCTTTTGTTATGTTTTGGTTTTCAGACATCCAGTGGCATCATTTTTCCATTTATTCTTTCGAGTCAGTGCAATTGTAGTCTATCTTCTCTGTGAATTGTTCAGCAGCAGCTTTATTGCCTGTATGGTGACGATTATCTTGTTATTGTCATGTGACTTTTGGGCAGTCAAGGTAGGTTTGATTGTTTTTATTTTGAAACCATTTAATACGATGAGATTGAATGGTGTATAAACAGTACAAAAAATGAAACATAGCATTTTTATTAATTTATCTTTTTGTTACCTTTGGCCTCATCTGTGTTAAAGTGCCAGGTGTATCAAATCATGTGTAGATTATTACACTATTTGTCAGCCTACATCAGCTTTAAAATCTAATAAATGTGACTACATACTGCTTCTAATCCATTTCACCTGTTTTGCTTTGGGGTCACTTCTGGCTGTCTAGATAAGACATTAAGGAGTACCCACCATCTGTGAAGGCTCTAGCGCAGTAGTTCTCAACCAGGACCTGTTTTGCCCCCCAGGGCACATATGTCTCAATGTCTGATGACATTTTTGGTTATCACAACAGGTGGGGGAAGAGTGCTCTTTGCATCTAGTGGGTAGGGGCCAGCGATGCTGCTAAACATTTTAAATGCACAGATTGGATAGTTTCCCAAAACAGCCCAAATTGTCAATAGTGCTGAAGTTGTAGGGGATAGAAAGGAATGTAAGAAATGGTTTCAAACTCAAAGGCAGTGATGAGTAGAGAGATGGATGGATAGATAACATAGGTACACATGTGATAAAGTAACTTTTAAAGTATAAACTGTAGACTCTAGGTGGTAGGTATATAGGTGTTAACTGTAAAACTACTCTTCTGTGTGCTTGAAATTTTCATGGTAAAATGGTTTGGGGAGGAGGGGGAAAAAAGCAAAAGCTAATTTTGGAATTTCAGATACATATATTGATTCAAAGACCAGTAAGATGTGACAAGTCTGTTCACCGCCACCAACGCAGCAGTTTTTAGACCTTTTGATTCTTACAAATACCAGAAGTGGTTGGTTTGGTAGTGGCCAGTTTCCATAGGCCACAAAATACCAAGAATGAAGAGTACAGAAGTCTGTTTTATTTAAGCTTTTCTTTTGTACAGTCTTCTTTGGCTTGCTTTTCTTTGAATTTCTTCTGTTGCTTTATGCTCTAAAGCAGCCGAGGGCAAACTACGGCCCGCGCGGATCCGGCCGTTTGAAATGAATAAAACTAAAAAAAAAAAAAAAAAAAGACCATACCCTTTTATGTAATGATGTTTACTTTGAATTTATATTAGTTCACACAAACACTCCATCCATGCTTTTGTTCCAGCCCTCCGGTCCAGTTTAAGAACCCATTGTGGCCCTCAAGTCAAAAAGTTTGCCCACCCCTGCTCTAAAGTGTTTGCTGTATCTTGGTCACAATTTTGTTCCCTTTTGTTGTTCATGTAATTTCTGTTTAGCTGGATAGAACATGACCTTCAGTCACTTCTTCCTGGTAATTTCCAATTTCTTATAATTAAATCCTTCTGGGCTTAGAGGTTTAAAAAATATGCCCCCAAAGTATATTTTCTGATAACTTGGGTTTTTTTGTTTGTTTTTTTGTTTGTTTTTAATGAGGGATTTAAAAATGTTACCCTTTATCTGGCAAAATTACTTACAGATATCCAAACAATTGCTATAAAAAGCATAATTAAAAAGTCAAGATGGGCCGAAGCCGGTTTGGCTCAGTGGATAGAGCGTCGGCCTGCGGACTGAAAGGTCCCAGGTTCGATTCCGGTCAAGGGCATGTACCTGGGTTGCAGGCACATCCCCAGTGGGAGATGTGCAGGAGGCGGCTGATCCATGTTTCTCTCTCATCGATGTTTCTAACTCTCTATCTCTCTCCCTTCCTCTCTGTAAAAAATCAATAAAATATATTTAAAAAAAAAAAAAGTCAAGATGGGGAAATTATTGAATGAACTTGGGAAAGGGGTAGGCAGGGTTCCAAACCTAGTTAAAACAGATGTATCATACTAGTAATTATTATAAATTTCAGTATAGTTGTCAAAAGAAGAGATATAATCATTAAAACAAAAAAATTATTTAAAATTTAAAAAAAAATTTAAATGTTGCAGTCTATGGTGCTTTTGCTTTATTCCATACTCTAATGGACTAAAAAAGTTTAATGGTTTTAAAATTCTAGTGTTAACTATTAGTAAAATTTAAAGTAAGTGTGTATCTTTCATAGCATTGGAGAAGATAGAAGCAACTTAAACATAGTTTATAAAGCAAGGGAAAGAAAGCGCATGCCAAGGAAGCTTAAATGTCATAAGGCATAGTACAAGGTGATGCAAGTAGTAGCAAATTAGTACTAACAGTAAATGTAATTTGATTAAACTCTCTTTTTAAAGATGAGAATTCTAAGATTGTGCCAAAAATCAAAAGTCCAACCAAAAAGTTCTAACTGAAATCATGACATTAGAAAAAAGTATAAAATGCAAAGATAACATCAGACCAATTCAAAAAAGAAACTTGGTATTATTATTATTAGATAAAATAGAAATGGGGTAAGACAGCATTCAATGGAAGAAAAATCATTTTATGAATCACAGTAAGGCTCATTCACAGAGTAACAGTACATCAACCTATGTCTAGAGAAAAACTTAGGAACTCTAGGAGAAAATGGAAGGAACATTATTGTGATAATAGTTGACAAGCCACTGTCTTTGACCAATCAAAGCAACAAAAGTTGAATATAAATAAGGTCAAAAGGATCTGAATGAAATGAGGTCAGTTTAATAGTGGTATTTGTAACTTTTTACATGCAAGGATAATTTAATAACAAGAGTTTAGTTCCTATGCAATATTTATAAAATTAATCAAATATCACTACGAAGGAAATTCAAATAAATTGCTCAGAGCAGCTACGTTTTCTAACCCAGTGCAACAAAACTAGAAATTAATAAAAAATAGTTGTTGAAACTGGAACTTTTAAAAGAGCCAATCTAAAAAATATCTTGGCTTAGAAAGAAAACAGAACTGTCTGCTTTTCTACCTAGAATGTTCTTCTCATCTGCATATTACCTTAACGTAGGGATTCCTAATTGTTTTTGTTTCATGGGTTCCTTTTCCAGTCCCATGAAGCTATGAATAGTGCTTTTAAATACCATTCTGTGGTTTTTATTGTGACAAACTACCAGTACTGTTAATTATACTGTGGATAATTGTCTATATTCATTACTTAAAGGTAAACTAAATTTAGCCAGAAGATAGTGAAAATAAAAAGATATAATTTTCCCCATCTAAATTCACAGAACCTCTGAATCTATTAGTGGATGCCATTAATTAAAAATCTCCTGTATTATTGATTTATACTTATTCTTTAAATTTCATTCCAAATGTTGATTCCTCAGAGAGTCATTTTCTGATTCCTGACGAGATAATATTTCCCTGTTAGAATCTTAAGGCACCCCACACCTCTCCCTCACAGTACTTAACACATTTGGTAATGGAACTTATGCCCATTGGTTGGCTGCCTCTCTTCCCCACAAACACGTGAAGCTCCAGGAAGACAGAAAATGTATCAGTTATCCCCATTTTATTACATGCTTAATAAATACTTGTTGAATAATAAGCATTAGGAAAGCTATCAAAATAATTAGTTATGTTCATAAGAGGAAAAGAACTTGGTATATTTGAAGTACTGAGAGAAGTCCAGTACTTGCAACCATTGTCTTAGTTTGAGCAGATATAAAAGATGCCATATAAACTATAGGGATTTCTTTCCCAAGGTCTGGAGGCTGGAAATCTAAAATCAGGGTGCCAGTATCATTGACTTTGGCTGAGGACCCTCTTCAGGGTTCCAGACTACTGACCTCTCCTTGTAACCTCACATGGTAGAGGGCAGAGAAGAGGTCAGAAGATCTCTTTTGATTCTTGTAAGAGCACTAATCCCATCTATGAGGGCTGTACCCTAATGACCTAATCCTAATCACCTTCTAAAATCCATGGTGTGGGTAGAGTGTCAGCATATAAATTTTGGGGGGACATAAACATTCAGTCCATAATAACCAATTTAAGAGATATATAGTTATAAAATATATGTAGCTGCAGTCAGAATATATAGGAAAAATAGGTCACAGTAGCTAAAGAGTAAGGCGTTTAGGAACAAATTACTGAACCGGAGAAAGGACAAGAATTCATGAGGGAAAAGGAGGTGTTTATGTATATGCTTACCCTGTCACCTCCACCCTTGCTGGTCCTGCCATTGCCATTTTGTTTAATCTTTCGTCCAGGCCTGGTATGTAATGGTCTTTAACTGAATATTATGGAGGTAAAGTTGATGCTGTTTTGTTTGTGAAATAATATGGTAGATTTTTAAATAATGCTTTTAAAACATGTTGCATATATTAATCTTTACCAGAATGTCACAGGTAGACTAATGGTTGGCCTGCGTTGGTGGAATCATATTGATGAAGATGGAAAAAGCCATTGGGTGTTTGAGTCCAGGAAGGTAAACTCCTCCCTCCCCCAGTTTTTAGTATCATTCAATGAATTATGTGTAGTTTACATTTGAGTGTCTATGGATGAAGTGTTCAAGATTAAAAGTACTATCCAAATCATTTGTCATGTCAATGCTAAACCAGATGGCCTTCTAAAACTAATTATATTTTTCTTACTAGTTCAGACCAGCAACTGTACAGGAAGGAATCCTCAGGGGGTGGACTTTGGGTTAGAGTTTATATAGTGTGCTGAGCTGCCTGTTAGGAGCTGATGACAAAGGGTCTCTTTCCTTAAGTTGCCTGCCTGGGATTACTGCTTCTAATAGCTTGTTCTGTCCTTGCTCCAATGGTTCTTTCCCATTTGTGGGCAGGAGAAAGAAGGATTGCAACTGGATAGAAAATCTGAATTGATCAGCGCAGTGCCATCTTTAAGTTGGACCTTCCGGAGCCCTAGGGGACCCTGGTCTGTTTTGGGTTGGCCTGCTTGTCTATAATGAACGTTGTTTGGGAGGCAGAGGACAACATTTTTGGAGACAGTACCAATGAAATTGCTTGCCTTCTGCTTGGAAGGGCCTTCACAAGTGTTTCTCAGAAAGCAGCATATGCTTAGTGAGCCCATATTCCTTTACATTATAAAATCTACCTTATAAACAACTCACCACCCTTATAAATTCCTGGGTTCTGCTGAGATATTGGGGTCATTATCCAGAATCCCTCAATTCCATTTTTTTCCTCTGGACCCTGACTCGACTTTTTAGGATGACTATTATCTTGATATCCTTGATCCTCACCTAAGAAGGTATCATTTAAAGCTTCCTTATATGCATAAACATTATAAATGCAAGAAGAATTGAAGTCTATCAGAGATCATTCTTAAACTCTCTACTCTGTCCTGAAAATTCTTGATTTAAAACAAGTATATTTAAACCAGTTTCTAAAGTTACAATAATGGTAGACCTAGTAGCTGGTTTTTTTGTTTGTTTGTTTGTTTGGGTTTTTTTTTGTTTGTTTTTTTGGGTCGGGGGAGGAGGGTGATGGTTCTAACTTAGGACTTTGGTTGTCTGTACAGTGGGGCCTTGACTTACGAGTGTCCCGACTAACGAGTTTTTCGAGATACGAACCGTCTCTCGGCCGATTTTTTGCTTTGAGTTGTGAGCTAAAATTCGGGTTACAAGCCAGCTTCAGATACCCCACCGCTAGTTGGTGCAGCGAACGTCACAGTGAACGCCACAACATCAGCCCAGCATCACTTGTCTCACTTGTTCACTTTAAGATTTGACATACGAGTAATTTGAGTTATGAGCTCTGTCACGGAACAAATTAAACTCGTAAGTCAAGGCCCCACTGTATTTATTTGAATTTGAGGATAAAGTGTTTTTCATAAAAAATGTTAAGCAGTCTTACTGATAAATATCACAAAACATTGGTTATTAAATTCATGTTCTTGTGTAGGCATCTCCTCAAGAGAATAAAAATGTTTCCGAGGCTGAATCAAGAATCTTTTGGTTAGGACTTATTGCCTGTCCAGTGCTTTGGGTGATATTTGCCTTCAGCGCTCTCTTCTCCTTCAGACTGAAGTGGTTGGTGAGTATCAGTGTATAGCTATTGAATAATCCATTAAAATGTCTAATGGATAATCATAGTAAGCATCCATCTACATTAACATTAGGGTCCCATCTTGAGTGGGCAGCTTGATCCTAAATTTCCCATTTGATTTCCCAACTCTCCTTTTTAAGCATTGATGAGCAGAGTCGTAGTAAAGACCCAATTTCACCAGTTCTCCGGATGTCTGGCAGAATTTTAATTTAACCCACCTGGTACAGAGATTACTGTATTTATCACATTGTTAACTTGTGGGATGAGGATATCAGTAAACTCCAGACAAACATGTTTATCTTAGTTTGGAACTAACAGAGTAGTCCTTTTTAAAATATTATTTGCTAACCTGTTCTGGCTATTGCTTATACAGTAAATCTTCCCAAAATTTAGTGGCTTAAAACATCAACAGTCATTTCATGATCTCTCTGTTTCTCTGGTTTATGAGCTTGGGAAGGGCTTGTCTGGAAGTTCTGGCTTCTGTAGTTGCAGTCAGTCAGTTGCTGGAGTGGCTGGGAGCTGGAGTGGCATCTCCTCTTCATGAGGCCCACAGCCTCCCAATGGTCTGAACAAGTGGCTTGGGCTTCCTCATAGCCTGGTGTCCCCATGGCAATTAGATTGCTTACTTGGAGGGTCAAGCTCCAATTAAGAGTGTTTGAGCTCACAATCTGAATTACCTTTTACAACTGTATGAGTTTGCTCAGGCTACTGAAACAAAAGACCACAGACTGGGTGGCTTAAATGACAAACATTTATTTCCTTACAACTCTGGATCCTGGAAGCCTTAGGTCAGTGTGTTGGTTGGGTTGGTATCTTTTGAGGCCTCATTCCTTGGCTTGTAGATGTTCACCTTTTCCCTATGTCTTCATATGGACTTCTCTGTACATGCCTGTGTCCTGTTTTCCTCTACTTATAAAAACATCAGTCATTTTGGATTAGGGCCCACCTAGTGACCTCATTTTATTGTAATTACCTCTTTAAAGACCCTGTCTCTAAATATAATCACACTAGAGGCCCAGTGCACAAATTTGGCTGGCTTGGCTGGCGATCCCTCCTGGGGGAGGAACCATGGGAGGTTGGCCTGCCGCGGGAGGTTGGCTGTAGGAGTGCACTGACCACCAAGGGGCAGCTCCTGCATTGAGTGTTTGCCCCCTGATAGTCAATGCGTGTCATAGCCACCAATCAACCGATCATTCGGTCATTCAGTTGCTTAGGCTTTTCTATATATACTAGAGGCCCGGTGCACAAAAATTTGTGCACTCGGGGGGGCGTCCCTCAGCTTGGCCTGTGCCCTCTTGCAGTCTGGGACCCCTTGGGGGATGACCAACTGCTGGCTTAGGCCCACTCTGGGGAATTGGGCCTAAGCTGGCAGTCAGACATCTCTCTGGCAGCCCGGGAGCCCTTGGGGGATGTCCACTTGCCAGCAGAGAGCAGGCCTAAGCTGCAGTCGGACATCCTTAGCACTGCTGAGGAGGTGGGAGAGGCTCCTACAACAACTGCTGTACTGGCAGCCATCAGACTGGCTTGTGGCTGAGCAGAGCTCCCCCTGTGGGAGTGCACTGACCACCAGGAGGCAGCCCCTCATTGAGCGTCTGCCCCCTGGTGGTCAGTGTGTGTCATAGTGACCAGTCATTCCCAGTCTTTCTGCTGTTAGGGTCAGTTGGCATATTACCCTTTTATTATATAGGATAGAGGCCTCTTGCACGGGTGGGGGCCGGCTGGTTTGCCCTGAAGGGTGTCCTGGACCTGGCCAACCTGGGTGAAGGGCTGATGGGTGTTTGCAGGCTGGCCACACCCCCTTTAGGGTGGGGGGGTTTCCACTGGGGTGCCTGGCCAGCCTGGGTGAGGAGCTGAGGGCTGTTTTCAGGCTGGCCAAGCCCCCCGGTGACGGAAGCTCCCAGCCTCTCCTTTTTTTCTTTTTGTTTAATTCTGGAATTTACTTACCTTCTATAATTGAAACTTTGTTGCCTTCAGTGGAGCTCAGAGCCAGCTCCTGCTCGCTCCAGCTCCGTGGTGATAGCTGGCTGAAAGCAGGTATCTGGGGTTTATTTATCTTCTATAATTGAAACTTTGTTGCCTTCAGTGGAGCTCAGAGCCAGCCAGGAAGCTTGGCTTCCTCCATCACTGGAGCAACCAAGCCTCCTGCTCGCTTCAGCTCCGTGGCTGCCAGCCGCCATCTTGGTTGGGCTAATTTGCATATAGTCGCTCTGATTGGCTGGTGGGCGTGGCTTAAGGCATATCAAAGGTACAGTCAATTTGCATGTTTGTCTTTTATTAGATTTGACTAGAGGTCCGGTGCATGAAAATTCATGCACTGGATTGGGGGATTCCCTCAGCCCAGCCTGCCCCCTCGGGGCAAGAGGCGACCCAGCGATCAGGGGAAGGCCATGCCCCATCACACCTCTTCTGCTACTACTGCCAGCAGCGCAAGCCTCAGCCGGCCCTGGTTACCTGAGCCTCTGGCGGCCCTCGGTGGCTGGACAGCTGCTATCCGAGGCTTGCCTGTGCCTCAGGCTGGCCCTGGGGGGCTGGGGAGCTGAGGGGACTGGGTGTCTCCGGAGGTAGGCACATGTAGCGGCCAGGCCCAACTGGGGGCAGGCCTGGCTTTGCCGTGCACCTGCCACCCTGGCGGGGCTGAGGTGATTGGGTGCCGCCATCTTGTGGCTGTGGGCACCGCCATCTTTGGGAGCGTGGCAGTCAATTAGCATATTCCCTCATTGGCTGTGTGTGCCACCATCTTTGAGAGCAGTCAATTAGCATATTCCCTCTTTATTAGATAGAACTAGAAGCCCAGTGCATGAAATTTATGCACGGGGAGGGGTTCCCTCAGCCCAGCCTGCACCCTCTTCAATCCGGCAGCCCTCGGGGGATGTGCAACTGCCTCTCGCAATCCGGGACCGCTGGCTCCTAACCTCTCGCCTGCTTGCCTGCCCGATCGCTCCTAACCCCTCTACCTGCCTGCCTGATCGCCCCTAACCATCTATGCCTGCCTGATCACCCCAACCACCTCTGCCTGCCTGCCTCTATAATTGCCCCTAACTGCTCCGCTGCTGGCCTGATCGCCCCTAACCACCTCTGCCTCACCCTCGCCCCACACCTGGGACCCTGGATTCCCTCTTCTGATCGGTCACAGGCACCCGGGATCTGGGCTTCTCTTCCTCTGGCCCGCTGCAGGCACACAGGACCCGAGCTGGCTTCGCCCGCGCTGGCCGCAGCAAAAGAGGACCGTGGGCAGGCAGCTTCGCCCAGGTCGCAGGCGCCCAGGACTGCGGGGCAGGTGGCTTGTCCCTCTCCCGGGCTGCAGGTGCAGACGCAGCTACTGGCTCCTGGGACTGCAGGGACCGTGGGGCGTGTGGATTGTCCCTCTCCTGGGCCACAGGCACAGGAGCAGCCGCTGGCACCTCAGACCGCGGGGTGGACAGCTTGTCCCTCTCCCGGGCTGCAGTTGTAGACGCTGGTGCCCAGGATCTCAGGGTGTGTGGCTTGTCCCTCTCCTCGACCGGGCCGCAGACCCAGCCACTGGCTCCTGGGACCGCAGAGCCTGCAACTTGTCCCTCTCCCGGGCCACAGGCTAAGGCATAGCTGCTGGTGCCCGGGACTGCGGGGCAGGCAGCTTGTCCCTCTCCCAGCCACAGCTGGCTGGTCCCTATTCCTCTCTCGTGAGCTCATTTGTTCCTAGCTGGTCCCCATTCCTCTCTTTTCAGTGTTGAGTGTCTGATCTGTTACGGTGTGACAGCATGAGGGCGTGACTGTATATTAGCTCTTTACTGGAGGCCAGGTGCACAAAATTCATGCACAGGGGGTTGTCCCTCAGCCCAGCCTGCACCCTCTCCAATCTGGGACCCCTCAGGGGATGTCCAATTGCCAGTTTAGGCCAGCCTTATCACCCCCTAACAGCTCCCCTGCCGGCCTGATTGATGCCTAACTGCTCCCCTGCTGGCCCAATCGCCTCAACTGCCCTCCTCTGCAGGCCTGGTCACCCCCAGCTGCCTTCTCCTGCAGGCCTGTTTGCCCCAAATGGCCTCCCCTGCTCTCCGGGACGCTTACAACTGCCCTCCCCTCTGGCGATCTGGTGACCACATATGCGGTCATCTTTGTGAATGTCGTGTAGGTCAGGTTGCATATTACCGCTTTATTATCTAGTATGTCTAATTGGTTAGGATAGTATCCTCAGGTCTCAGATATCGTGCAGCATGTAGAAGGACATCTCTTATCTCGTAGTTTGCATCAGGAATCAGACGTTTTACTTACTCTACATT